AAATAAATATAAAAATTGAAGCAATTACAGCTGTTTATAAGTATTTCTGTGTTTGTGTGTCTGTCTGTGTGTATGTGAGTGTTTTACTAATTGTCAGAGGTAAATTCTGCCTCATGTAAAATCTGTTGGAATTTTATTTTAACCTCTGAACGACGGCGTGGAGGAAGGCGTCTCAAAGCCCCAGATAAACTTAAGAGAAAATGCTCATCATCGTCTGGCTTATTATTAATTGCCTTCGGGACACAGCGCTGATATTCTGAGATATCTGGCTCAGACTTTCTCTTTGGAGCCAGAGTGCGACGCAAAGGTATTTCAGGTGTGCAGGGTGGTGGCACATCAGGGGAGTCAGGAGATCTAGGCTGTGTGCTGTTGGCTTGGGTTTGGGTCAGTGACAGGGATTGTGCATTCTCATCTGTTGTCTGTGAGGGGGGAGGGAAAAAAAATAATTAATAGCAATTTATCGATAACATATACTGCTGCTATTACTACTATTAATAATAGCCTAATAATTCCTTTGACAGAAAAAAAACCGTCAATAATTGCAATTTATTAAACAGATATAGCATCAAACGCTTTGGTGGACACAGGGCCTAAGTGCAGTTATGCACGCTCGTAAATCATCTCATGACTAAGTGCAGAAGCGATGTAAATAAGAGATTCATTGTGCAGTTTAGAGAGCTTCACTGATTATAACAGAACTTTGTAAGATCGCGATGAGCAAAGATGAGTTAAGCTTTTTAGAATCCTCCCATATCCCAATATATATATATATTTCTTTTTTTCCCCTTGCCCCCCCTGACTCAAGAGTCAAATGTCGCCCAAGGTTAAGGGTAAGAGTACTTATGCAATGTACAGGTTTTTTATTTTTTATAAATTTACGAAGTTGTGGCAATTTTGTTTTTGCTTTGTCAATATGGTGTATGGAGTGTAGATTGATGTGGGGAAAAAAGTACTTTAAAGCAGTTTAACATAAGGCAGCAACATAACAAAAAAACGTGAAGGGGTATGAATACTTTCACAAGGCACTGTATTTCCATATACTTTAACATTTTAATATACTGTTCAATGTAAAGTTGTTGTTTTTTTTGTTTCTTCAATAGAAAAGCAATTTTTAATGTCATCCACTGTAATTTTGTGGCTTTTTTTTTTTTATTGGTTCAGGCACCAGTACCATTTTAAAAGTATCGATTCGGCACCGGTATTGTAAAAATCCCAAATGATACCCAACCCTAATTAGAATCATTAAAAGGCAAAAGCAGTATGCATCTATAACGTCACATTCAGTAAGTCATCCTAGCTGGCATTAGCTAATTACCATAACATTATTAGCCTATAGTGTGCTGTAACAACATCTGGTTAGCTCCACAGGTTTCTGCGCCCATGTCGTTGGTCTTATCTATACCCTGGACCTCTGTAAAGCCCCCAAAATGTGCAGTTTCTCAGCCCAGTCCTCCACAAGCCTAAGCCACGAGGAAGAAAACTTAAACCGCTGCCCGTAACAGCTGTTGTGGTGGGGGTGAACTTCCAAACCGAAAACATATCCAACTTCTGTCACCACAGCAATGGTAGGTGAGCTGTTTTCATGATAAATAATGATAGAAATACCAAATATGATAAACCGTGCAACTTACTGTGGTGTTGGAGTACCAGTAATCTAAACTTTTATGACAAGTAGATGTGAATTTTGTATATTGCAGAGCTTTGTCTAAAGTGGCAAATGAGGATTTGGACAGGGACACCCGTGAGCTACATAGCAAATAGGTCACCAATAGATGCAGTGGGTTAGGAAAAGTACCCTCTTGCAAGTGGTTTGAGCTACCAGGTAAAACAGTGATACAGATTAAGACTGAATTATTATCATTACAAAAGAAAAACATTCACACTATAGCAAGAATCTGAAAGGTTAAAAATGGGATACAAAATGCAAATTTATTATAATAACTTGCGTGACAAGCAGAGAGAAATCATGGCCATGAATTAACTGCAGCACTTTGCTGTCCCTATGTGGGTTCTTCAGCAACCTATGCCTGAATGCTGTGTCGCTGGAAATTCGACAACATGCACACCACAAACCATATCTGATTTATATTTTCTAACATGTAATTAGGGATTCTACCAGACACTATCTTAAATTTTTTGACGTTGGCTATTGCTCTTTCTACATGCACTTTGTGTTTGGCTATTTTTTTTGCTATCTGAACATCTGGGACTGGCATGTGAAGATTTGCAAACGGAGGAATGTTTAGTTGAAGGCCAAGCTCCTTCACATCTTTCTCAATGAGAAACCCCTTATCCACCATCAGCCCATCACCTCTCTTAAGGTGGCCACACTGAAGCAGACCTTTCAGTAAATCTTTGATTTCGCACCGTCTAAACAGCTCTTGGTCAGAAATTGATCCTGTGTATAGCGTAGATGCAAACATGATGGAGCCATGAGGATCACAGGCTATCAGAGACTTGAGTGTGTTAGTAGACTTACGGTTAGAACAAGTCTGACTTTGTGCCAACAGTGAGCTAGGTTTCTCTATCTTTATCTCTGTGCAATTAAGAATGGCAAAAGTTGTTGGAAACTCTGCTTTGTAGTTGTCGGGCATGTTTTCTGCAATGATGTCCCTGTGTGGCCAAACAGACAGATTACATAGCCTGTCATACATGAAGTCAATCCATGAACTGAATAAAGTCCTAACACTTTGCATATCAATTTGAAATTTGAAAGCTAGCTCTTCCAGGTCGTAGTTTTGTCTTAGTTTCATAAGTACAAGAAGAAATTGTTGACGTAAAGGCATGTGGCGGATGTGCCTGTTCAGTTTATCACATGTCAAGGGGATGTGTGTTTGTGGGACTGTTTGTTTTCCATTATCTGGAAGGGCGAAAAATCGGCACAGTTCGTTAAATTCATCGTAAGTGAACCCAGTGCAGTATTTGAAGTAGTTAGGGACACTGCTGTTATTTACAGTCTCTGGTGTTAGTGGGTAAAGAGCCTGATGAGCTTGTATTTTCTCTCTTAGCAAGTCGTTTTCTTTTTCTTTTTGAGCAAGAAGAGTCTTCAGTCTTTCCAGTTCCACCTGTGTTTCTTCTGTCTGGGGTTGGTCATCTGTGCACTCTGGAAACATAAGAATGAAATGATTTAAACTAGTGTTTTATTAACACAGGACATAAGCACAATGTAAATAACTTACAAATAGAAATTGTTGACGTAAAGGCATGTGGCGGATGTGCCTGTTCAGTTTATCACATGTCAAGGGGATGTGTGTTTGTGGGACTGTTTCATTATCTGGAAGGGCGAAAAATCGGCACAGTTCGTTAAATTCATCGTAAGTGAACCCAGTGCAGTATTTGAAGTAGTTAGGGACACTGCTGTTATTTACAGTCTCTGGTGTTAGTGGGTAAAGAGCCTGATGAGCTTGTATTTTCTCTCTTAGCAAGTCGTTTTCTTTTTCTTTTTGAGCAAGAAGAGTCTTCAGTCTTTCCAGTTCCACCTGTGTTTCTTCTGTCTGGGGTTGGTCATCTGTGCACTCTGGAAACATAAGAATTAAATTATTTAAACTAGTGTTTTATTAACACAGGACATAAGCACAATGTAAATAACTTACAAACATTGCAATATTTTTTTTCCTTTTCTTGTGTGATTGTGTAGCTCCCGTTATTGGACAACACTTGGCCAAGATCCTCCCTGTGAAACCCTACTGATGATCTTCCACTTTTCCCATTGTCACCACAACCAAGTACCTTCTTTACAGCCCTAACAAAAGACCAGATGGAATGCTACAATGGAATGACGGTCTCAAAGTCTGAATCAGAGGCACTGGAGAAAGAACCCAGACAAGCATCAACAACATCTGGCACTCTGTCCGCTCGCCTCATCTTACTTCATCCTCTTTCAAGAGAGCATACTCCAGGAAAGCAGACTAATGGCGCTTTTCCACTGCATGGTACGGTTCACTTTTGGGGGGTTTTCCACTGGGTACAGTACCTGGTATCTGGTACTTTTTTTAGTACCACCTCGGTTGAGGTTCCAAGTGAACCGTACCGTTACCAAAACGTGATGTGTAAACTCTGCTGATCACGGATTGGCCGGAGAGAATCGTCACTACCTGCGTCACTGAACTTGACACAACAGAACCGCTAGATTTAAATCAGCACAGCCAGCGAAGGATCGAACGCAACTGTTTTGAACAAGCGCACCTTTTTTAACAATAAAAAAAGTGGCTGTTTTGCTGTCTGTTGAGAAAGTACAGACGTTCCTCTTGTTGATAGCAGAGGAGCGGATCCAGCGGGAGCTTGAGGGGGAGACGCGGAAAGAAAAAGTTTTTCAGGAGTAGAGGCAGTGCAACTATAAACGACACGTGAATAATCCCGCCCACTCTAAAGCGGACTGAACTGCAGTGGAAACACAAACCGAGCTGTGCCGAGCCGAGTCGTACCACGCAGTGGAAAAGCGCCATAAGAGGCAGCTTGCCACCAGCATGCTGAGGAAGAAGACAACACTGCAAACCAAAGCAATGAAGAAAGGCCTGGAGCTTGAAACCAAGTCTACATGCCCTCCATTAAGGTACATCTCCTGACAGGAAAGTCCTTCAGTATGGCTACAACAAAAGCTATGGAATTGTAGAAATAAAGTGCACAGACCAATACAGCGCCACAGGTTGTCAATACCTCCAGAAGCACAGTCTCAAACGTTACCATGAGTACTATTACCAAGTTATAGGACAGATGGGGATGACTGGGATGCCATGGTGTGACTTTGTGAAGTTTGACAATGATTACCATCTGGAACACATTCACTTTGATGCAGAAATGTGGGAAATAGGGCTGGGTGATTTTTCAGATTTGATCGATGAATTCGAATTGAATGTTTTGCCACGATTACATTTTTTATAAATTGAGAAATTCATGATTTTGAACAGAAATAAATATTACCAAATGTTAGAATTTGACAATATGCCAATGATAACAGTAAAGAGAAAAGAATGATCCAACCGCATGTCAGCAACAAAGATGCGACACGGAAAGTGGGAAAAAAATGCTGGATTGGTAGTCGAATATCTTTTAAATTGAGTGCCACTATTTTAGAATGCTGTTTAATGCATGAGGTGCTGCAAGAGACGCGAGCGCAAATGCATCCATGTTTACATAGAATAAACAATGGAAAAGCAGGTCAATCAAATAAAAAAAAACTGTAAAGAACTACTACTGTGTGTCTAATATTTCATGTTTGCATCATGGTGGCAAGCTGAAAGCTGCTGTTTTTAAAAAAAAAAATTTATACAGAACTTTTATAGTTAACAATAGTCTACTGGTGTTATACCTTCAGTCATTCTGAATTTGAATTACCTTGACTTGAGAATTTTTTTAAGCTTTTTCCTTGTATTATTTCAGAACATATCATATGCATAAGACACGTTTGTACAAGATGTAGTTGTAGATCATGCATCTTTGCAAAGATATTTAACAAGTGATTTGCTTAACATTTACATCATGTTGACAACATGTGTGCTGCACTCGGAATAGAATTTTCTTTTACTGGAGCAGGGGGTCACCAGACCGGTGTCCTGCAGAGTTTAGCTGCCTGTTAATTTCAAATATAGCTAGCAAGACCTTGATTAGCTAGTTCAGGTGTGTTTGATTAGGGTCGGAATAGAATTTTCTTTTACTGGAGCAGGGGGTCACCAGACCGGTGTCCTGCAGAGTTTAGCTGCCTGTTAATTTCAAATATAGCTAGCAAGACCTTGATTAGCTAGTTCAGGTGTGTTTGTTTAGGGTTGGAGCTAAACTCTGCAGGACACCAAGTTTGGTGACCCCTGAACTAGAGGGTTATTAAAGAAAAAGTCACTTGAATCATGTTGTAGTTACTGTACATTTTCAAGTTGACTAGTTAAAAATCGAGAATCGGTCAAACGTTCTGAGAAACAAAAAAAAAACAAACAAACCCCACCAGATTACTTTTTTTTGCCATATGTGGGGAAAAAAATGAAAACTAAACTAGACTGTTTTTCTTTTAAAAAATATTTTCCTACCAGCCCTGTGCAGTTAGAGAGTAGGGATGGGCGATACCACTTATTTTGTTTTTGATACGATACCGATACTTTTAATGGCCAGTATGGTCGATATCGATACGATACTTCTAAACTGAACTTTTAAATTATGAAATTTATTAAATTACTAAGAGTAAAATGGGTAATAATACCCACTTAACTTTATATTTGAAACACATTTTAACATTCAATACGCCTTAATTGCAACTTATTAGGTTATATTTTTGTTTACACATGGTTTAAATGTTTACTGTAGTGGTAACCATGGAAATCTACAAATACTACAGTTGAACTATGGTCACTTTAGTAAAACCATGGTTCATTTTCATAAGGGACTGCCAGTGACAGGCTGTTGCATGCATAAAATGCAACCTTTTTAGGTTACACTTTATTTCGATAGTCCACTTTAGACATTCTACTAACAATAAGTAACTTTGTAACTACATGTCAACTAATTCGCATTCATTTGCAACTACACGTCTACTAACTCTCAGAGTAGACGGTAGGTTTAGGGTTAGTAGAATAAGTTCACAAAGAAAGAGTTAGAAGATATTAAGCAGACAGTCTACTAATACTCTACTAACTGCTAGTTGACATGTAGTTGCAAAGTTATGTACTGTTAATAGAATGTCTAAAGTGGACTATCGAAATAAAGTGTTACCCCTTTTTATTCTGAGAGTGTATGATTTATATTAACATTAAAAGTTCATATTGATCATGTTCTATTCTGTAATGTTCAAATTTAAATAAATGTACTGCACAAACAAGGCTACAATTTCAATTAGTTTTTTGTGAAATAACTCAAACATATATGTTTTTTCTGCATTGTTCTCGGCTGCCGTTCCCAAATACATCAATGCTTTCTTACGATAGGCTACTTTTGGGAAACGCAGCTGTTTGAATGCACTGTCAGAAGTGAGTGAACGCTCTCTGTGACTGATTGATTCTGCCTTGCAACATTTGCGTGTGTTCAGATGAGCAGGAAAATAGTTCCGTCCTACACAACTATTATTTAATGCATATTGTATGCATAATTTTTTTGATAAATAAAATCACTGGTAAATAAAAACACCTTAGTATCCATATTTTTTATTTGTGTATCGATACTTTTGATACTCGCATCAGTATCGATATATTGATTCTTCAGGATCGATTCGCCCATCCCTATTAGAGAGATCACTGTAACAAACAACAAAACACATACCCATTTTAATGACCATAGTGCTCTCCTCTGTAGTGGTATCTTCCATGATTGATTCTGCTACCATCTCTTTTTTAATAACAATGGAAACGCCTTGTAGATCACACCTGTAAAAATGATATATACATTTAATATTTCAAAAATAATATGCTAAATAAATAATAATATCCTCCTGGGACCCAGAAATAGACTTTTCATCTCTGTAGGGGACATTATATTTTAGTGAGTCTTGATATCCTGAAAAGAGCACATTCAGGGCTTTTCACAAATACCAAATGTTTGGAGATCTTTAAAAATGGCTGACATTAATTTAATGATCGATCAAACATAACACTCTTATGGAAATATAATATTTTGTAATCATCTTTAAATCTGACCCATTTTTTTAATTGTTTGTCATAAATCTGTTATCAATCTGGAAAATTATATGGGGTTTCAAATCAAAATATGACTTTGTTACATAACAGGACATCAGTTTCATACATGTCCACTGTAAAGGACACCAGGACTTAAAGCATGTTTAGTACACATTTTGGGAGACACGACAAATGAATAGGGAAAGAAATTATATTTCAATATTCCTATGAAATATTTGATATTGTCATGAAAATCTAGCCAATTATTACTCCCATTATTACACTTCTTTTATCACTACGTTGCCCCAAGAACACATTAATATGCAAATTAGATGCAGAGTAAAGATAGATTGTATACAGTATAATGGGAAAACCCTCTTAGGCCATTTTACACACAAAGCAAAATTATATATCAAATAATTATGTTACATCTTTCATAAAATAGTTGAGAATCATCTTTATACAAACTTTGCTATAAAAAAAATCCTGAAACCTAAAAATTTAGTTGATTTAAAAAAAAAAAATCCATTGTTTTTACCTATTCATGTCTTTTTTTTTTTTGAATCCAGGTGTCCTCTACAAAGGACATAGCATAACATATGAATAAAATATCATTTTTCAAAATTGTTATTTTTCAATTTTTCCTTATGCTCTAATGACATGAAAAAAATACTAAATTCACAAAACTTTTTTTCTGGGTCCCAGGAGGACACGACAAGTCATAGAATAAAAATACTGCATTGTAGTTATTATTTGCTTTTTCTTTATATAACACAAACACCTGATGTTTTCAGCATTGTGTGGTTTGCGGTCATCTCGTAGTCCTTCTCTTGGTGGCACAGACACGGTTCGCAACATACTACAGTTATCTATCAATGCTGGCAGAGGATCGGGGTGAGCAGGTGTCGGCCGGCCGTCAACGAAGTGCTGCAGATTAATGACAGAGGAAAGAACTTGGTCATCCTAAATTACGTCAAAGAGTAAAGAAGTCAAGAAGCAAAACTCTGAGGCTTTTTGGGTAACAGCCTTTTGGTGGTGGTTCGGTAGCGCGAGTGAAAATGCCAACTGGACAACAGCACAGATGCACAGAAACAGACAGAATAACAACGAAAGACAAGTCAAAGTGGAATGAAAGAACACAATGTTCGGCAATCCACTGCAAAAGTTATCTGAAAAGTATAAGTACAAAAACTATAAGTACACAGTTGAGGTAGTTTTAGCCTACTTTGATCATTTCCATTTTATGCAACTTTACACATTTACTATTACTATTATTAGTGACTATTACGCCACTATGTCTGAAATACATATTGTACGTTTTAATCCCCTGGAACACACTACGAACATGATGATCTTATAGAACATGATGCATTGCTGTGTCTGTCATAATTAAACAATTGTGGAGACAGTGGCTGTGTTTTTTGTTGTTGTTGTGTGTGTGTACAGTCTTGCTTTAATGGACATTAATATAAGACAATACTGCAAAAACAGTTTACTGTCAAGCTGTTATATTTGAAGAGTTCATTTTCAAAACCAGATAACTCCGTAAACTTTTTTTTTTTATCCTGCATTCCAATTAATATCAATCAAACTGCAGTTGGGTAGATTAAATAATAGTAACTAATCAGCTAACTAACACAATAAAACTAAACGTAAATGTAAACAGTGTTAATTTAACCGAGACTTATTATAGCACTTGCATATCATTGCTCTTTTTTATCCGTTTTTGCAAATAAACTCTTCATTTATTGTCCAAGTTTCCCAATTTTTCTGATGCATGTCATTAATTTAATTTCATATGTTGGTATTAATTCAGTGTTTATAATGCTAATACTTAAACTTAAAAGAATTTCAACCGAAACGGACTTTCTAGAGAACAAAGTTTTTGTGAAAAAAAAATAAAAAAATGGAAGACTTAAACACAAAGTCTGTAAAATAAACTGTTAAAAGGATTTGAGGATCACTTTGGTGATTATTGTCATTATTCAGGTTGTATTTTAAGTTTTTTTTTTTTTTTTAAACAAAGCAGCTGATATTGCCATAGTGAAAACAAGAAGCTAGTGGACTGCCCAGTCAGTCGCTTTCACTCCAAAATGTCAGAAGCGTAGGGCTGCTGCTGTTGCAATGTATGGTTGCAATGGAACGTTCTACTGGCTTTCACTTCTTGTCAATAGAAGTTCTTTGATTAAGTCTTAAGTATCTTAAAAGGAAATTCATACTGCAGCAAAGTACAGGACAAAGGGAAGAAATGTCAGGCAAAACTGCTCTTTAGGCTCGCTAATGTTTGGCTAACTATTAGTTATCCTAGTAACCTTAAGCTTTTAACGATACCAACCCTCTACATTGCGAGTAAATCACTCGCATATGCAACTAAATCTTCACTCTGGGTGACTAAATGATGTCTAATATTAGCCACTGGCTAATCAATTCTCAGATTTTACTCGCCAGTGTGTGAGTTAGAGGCTAAGTATAAGTTTAGCACAGATATATTTTCACTCGCCGAATACTCTGAGCGCTTCAGAGTTTCACGCTCCGTCAGGCGATCTTAGTCCAGGTGATGTGCAAAATTTGAGGTGATATTTTCACTTTTTCATAAAAGCATGAAACTTGGTACAATTGTACAGATTAGGGCCCTGAACATTTTCAGAAATGGAGCCATCGCAAAAACACCTCGTGGTTGCCATGGCGACCATTTTACTTTACTTACATATATATATATAGGGGAGTAGCCATCATTTCAGAAGTGAGGGGGATAGAAATGTACTATATATATATATACACGCATATACCCACACACACACACACAGTGCCTTGTATATACATTATACATACAGTATATACATAGGCTACTGTATATAGGAAACTTTATTTCTTCTCTTATTTCTTTCTTTTAATTGGCTAAGACATCAGATACACTGTTGGACAATAACCAATAAATGATTTGTTAATGTACTACAAACACCTTTTTTTATCACATAAGGCAGAATAGTTTCTGTAGCCTACTGTAATAAATGCTATGTCAAGTAGCACTGAATTGTTCATATACTTTATTACCTGGAGGTGATTTAAAAAAGCACAAATAAACCATATATTGTCGCAATCGTGTGTTTAATGTTTTCACGTTTCCAAAGACCGGTAGACCCGAACCGCGCCTGCATTAAATCTCCTACATGAGGTAGACAAAACTAATTTATTAAAAATGGATTCTAATCGTGAATAGATTAAATACAGAGAGCAAGCAAAGAGCGCTACGCTCTCAGAAAAAAAGGTACAAAAGTTGTCACTGGGGTGGTACCTCTTCAAAAGGCACAACTTTGTACCTAAAGAGTCCATATTGGTACCTTAAAGGTACATATTGGTACCTAAAGTGTACATATTAGTACCGAAAAGGTACCGCCCCAGTGACAGCTTTTGTACCTATTTTCCTGAGAGTGTACCTTTAATATAATCCCTACAGCTGGCATTGCGACTGGCTACATTGCTCAGCGTGTACTGGACCGAGTCGAAATAGTCTTGGTTATTGGACCCGCAACCTGCCCGTGCTTGTCACCGTCCGGCCCGTACCTGCACCACACCCTACACATAAATATTATTCCACCCATTACATCAAATATTAGCGGTTCACCTGCGTGTACCCAGCCGCATGCAAGACTCTGGCTTCCCCCCTGTGGACAACATGATAAACAACTCTGGCCCCAGAGAGTGATTGTAAATTAAGTTTACATGAAATATGTTCGAACTTTCATTCTGCATCTTCTGAGATTTCATTGTAATCCTTCTCATAAAGTCACTGAACTAACCATTAACTGTTCACCTGATTGAGTTGCCGTCTGTGTGTGATGTTAGAGCATTGTTGAGAGAGAACAAGAATGTATTGGAAACACACTACCGCCTACCCGACTCAGCCTGAGAGGTAAGGAAATACACTTACCTGAGATGAATTTTTGATATCTGAAATATATGATAGTATGCTTGAGAACAATCTTTTAATGTATTGAAGAAAATATTAGATAAGTATCAAAGAAAGAAAAAAAAATGGTCATAATATGGACTTTTGTAAATGCTGTGATCCTGTGATGCTCAGATACTGTTATTTCCTTCTCACATTGCTGATTTTACCATTAACTCTTCACCTGAACAGTGTTTATGTTGTTCCTTGACCATCACAACATAGGGGTAGACATCACCTTTTCTGTGTTATCATGTTTGGTTCAGGAGATATGACACAAAATACATAATTTGGTTATGGCGGAAAGTCAAAGGGTCGCCATGGCAACCACGAGGTGTTTTTGCGATGGCTCCATTTCTGAAAATGTTTAGGGCTGTAAACTATACAAGTGTACCAAGTTTCATGCTTTTATGAAAAAGTGAACATTACATTCACATATCACCTGGACTATCTGTGATATTTTTCAATTTTCCTGTATTTGATGTACCGTAAACTCTAGTGTAATGGCACACGACTCGCCGTCGCTTTGGTGAGAGCAGAGAGAGAGTTTTACATACATGCAGAATTGACGCGCTACGTGTAAACGATATTCTTTGTTGTATTTTCCTGTCAAAATAACGGAGTTCCTTTGGATTTTTTCAGCTTTTAAAGGGGTCATATGATGCGATTTCAATTTTTCCTTTCTCTTTGGAGTGTTACGAGCTCTTGGTCATAAGGCAGAATAGTTTCTGTAGCCTACTGTAATAAATGCTATGTCAAGTAGCACTGAATTGTTCATATACTTTATTACCTGGAGGTGATTTAAAAAAGCACAAATAAACCATATATTGTCGCAATCGTGTGTTTAATGTTTTCACGTTTCCAAAGACCGGTAGACCCGAACCGCGCCTGCATTAAATCTCCTACATGAGGTAGACAAAACTAATTTATTAAAAATGGATTCTAATCGTGAATAGATTAAATACAGAGAGCAAGCAAAGAGCGCTACGCTCTCAGAAAAAAAGGTACAAAAGTTGTCACTGGGGTGGTACCTCTTCAAAAGGCACAACTTTGTACCTAAAGAGTCCATACTGGTACCTTAAAGGTACATATTGGTACCTAAAGTGTACATATTAGTACCGAAAAGGTACCGCCCCAGTGACAGCTTTTGTACCTATTTTCCTGAGAGTGTACCTTTAATATAATCCCTACAGCTGGCATTGCGACTGGCTACATTGCTCAGCGTGTACTGGACCGAGTCGAAATAGTCTTGGTTATTGGACCCGCAACCTGCCCGTGCTTGTCACCATCCGGCCCTTACCTGCACCACACCATACACATAAATATTATTCCACCCATTACATCAAATATTAGCGGTTCACCTGCGTGTACCCAGCCACATGCAAGACTCTGGCTTCCCCCCTGTGGACAACATGATAAACAACTCTGGCCCCAGAGAGTGATTGTAAATTAAGTTTACATGAAATATGTTTGAACTTTCATTCTGCATCTTCTGAGATTTCATTGTAATCCTTCTCATAAAGTCACTGAACTAACCATTAACTGTTCACCTGATTGAGTTGCCGTCTGTGTGTGATGTTAGAGCATTGTTGAGAGAGAACAAGAATGTATTGGAAACACACTAAGTCGAAATAGTCTTGGTTATTGGACCCGCAACCTGCCCGTGCTTGTCACCGTCCGGCCCGTACCTGCACCACACCCTACACATAAATATTATTCCACCCATTACATCAAATATTAGCGGTTCACCTGCGTGTACCCAGCCGCATGCAAGACTCTGGCTTCCCCCCTGTGGACAACATGATAAACAACTCTGGCCCCAGAGAGTGATTGTAAATTAAGTTTACATGAAATATGTTTGAACTTTCATTCTGCATCTTCTGAGATTTCATTGTAATCCTTCTCATAAAGTCACTGAACTAACCATTAACTGTTCACCTGATTGAGTTGCCGTCTGTGTGTGATGTTAGAGCATTGTTGAGAGAGAACAAGAATGTATTGGAAACACACTACCGCCTACCCGACTCAGCCTGAGAGGTAAGGAAATACACTTACCTGAGATGAATTTTTGATATCTGAAATATATGATAGTATGCTTGAGAACAATCTTTTAATGTATTGAAGAAAATATTAGATAAGTATCAAAGAAAGAAAAAAAAATGGTCATAATATGGACTTTTGTAAATGCTGTGATCCTGTGATGCTCAGATACTGTTATTTCCTTCTCACATTGCTGATTTTACCATTAACTCTTCACCTGAACAGTGTTTATGTTGTTCCTTGACCATCACAACATAGGGGTAGACATCACCTTTTCTGTGTTATCATGTTTGGTTCAGGAGATATGACACAAAATACATAATTTGGTTATGGCGGAAAGTCAAAGGGTCGCCATGGCAACCACGAGGTGTTTTTGCGATGGCTCCATTTCTGAAAATGTTTAGGGCTGTAAACTATACAAGTGTACCAAGTTTCATGCTTTTATGAAAAAGTGAACATTACATTCACATATCACCTGGACTATCTGTGATATTTTTCAATTTTCCTGTATTTGATGTACCGTAAACTCTAGTGTAACGGCACACGACTCGCCGTCGCTTTGGTGAGAGCAGAGAGAGAGTTTTACATACATGCAGAATTGACGCGCTACGTGTAAACGATATTCTTTGTTGTATTTTCCTGTCAAAATAACGGAGTTCCTTTGGATTTTTTCAGCTTTTAAAGGGGCCATATGATGCGATTTCAATTTTTCCTTTCTCTTTGGAGTGTTACAAGCTCTTGGTGC